ACCGCTATCTCAGGATTATTACGAATGCTCATTATTTCGTGTGACAAATAAGTGTCTACAAGATGACCTCAAGATCGACCCCTTAGATAAGTTCATCGCAAAGCAAAATCGGAATTTCTTCAGAGAAGCCCAGGACTGCAATCATATGCGTCAATTTAACCTCTTTGAATATGAAATATTGCACGAAGACAGGCACCTTAGACCATTTACTGCATTTATCCTCAATGAAAATCAGAACTTTCCAACCTAAGTTTTTACCCTGTGTTTACTTGTAATACTGAAATGCTTAAAGTTAAGCAGCCACTATCGGGGTCAAGGCACGGGAGGGTGACCTCCTACGTGACTACGAACTCAAGTCTTCTACTGCTTATTGTAGATCTCTCACTGCTCCTATTGGTTTCAAATTTCTTTTATTTTATTTATTTAATTTCAACTTTTAGTTTACTGGAAAAAGTATGTTTTTTTTTATGTCTCTGCAATTGAATATTTTGTAAATAGCAAATTCTCATGATTTTCGCATACACGTCTCAACAGCCAATCAAAAGACCTCTACTAAGAGATATCTTTGACTGCTTCTGCTGGACTCCCTGTGGAATTTTACTTTTGTATATAGTCTTTCTAGTTGTGAGAAAAATGCACTTTGATGAGTTTATGCACTGAATATTTGTAAAAATGCACACTGTACCTGAAACTTGGACCAGCATCTCTCCAGCCTACCAGACACCGCTATAGCCTCACGTGACAAAGTAGTCACACCTTCTTTCATTTTGCATCCTGTCCTCCGGACACACTCATGCATTTGCTATACCTGCAATGTACTTTTTAATTCATGACAGCCGGTATACAGCTTGCTATCAGCAAGCTACACACGGCAATAGTGGGAAAAGGAAAGGTGACCATAGAAAAGGCGTCCTGTAGTGTGAGTGAGTTCACGGAGCAGGGAATGCCCAAATCTTGTTTTTGTTACTAAGCATATTTTAATGCTTGAGGGTTTACTTGATTTGCTTTACAAAAGATAAGAGCTGTGGTGTTTCTTAACCTGTAAATTACCCATCTACCAAAAATTCACATGTAAAAGATAATTCTGAAGACATTAAATTTGTTTTGAAAGTAATATATTAATTTCCCTTAGTTTGAAAAAATACAATAAATTACAATTCATTTTAACAGCGTATAACTGAGTAATGCGGAATAATTTGTACGTTATTTAAACGAAATTGAGTTGAATTATTATACAAGTATAATAATAAAGAACTCGAGGACTATTTGTCTAAGGGCAAGAACACCTTTCTAATCATTATTTGAAATGAAATTTTACAATTTATTTCACTTTTGCTTTTAATTTACTTTCCACAGAATTCAGTACGTGAAACCGTCAATAATAATATAATAATGATAATAAAAATGGCATCACACAACTAAAAGTAGATACTACTTCGTAAATATCGATAAATTAATTACTGAAAATGTTAAACATAACAATGGCAGCATTGCCCTAATAGTTTTAAGTTGGATTTCAACATTTAAAAGAACGCGAATTACATTGCTATTTTCACCACACAAACGAATGGAATATTTCAGAAAAGAATTCTCCCCCCGTTATTGCAATATTTCAATAATTTTCGCAAATTAAAAAAATTCATTAAAACGTTTTAATAGTAAATGATGCGATTTTCACTCATAAAATTCCTTTGTACATTAATATCTTTCATTTCAGCACCACTGGATAAATTTTCTAAGACGTAAATAGCTTCCGTTAATATTTGTTCTCATACAGTATATTTATTTTTTATATTGTCATTAATAAATTAATGATAGACAGATAAAAAAATTGATACTGCTTAATTTATAAGCAATGTAAAAACTGGAAATCTGAGGTCATTAATTTCTGAGACATAAATAGCTTTCCAAGATGCAAATAAAACAGATAACAATAATCATAAATATTAATGCTCTTAAAATATATCCGCTTTTTGATCCACCTGGGGCACAACAAGCTTATTTTCATTAAATGAAGTTTTGTGCACTTCTCTACGAAGTACGCAAAACTTGTTTCATACAACTTTATTTTACCTAATTATGAAGAAACGTTATACTTGTTTCCTAAACAAGTATTTATGTGCACTACTTTTAGAATCCATGTGACTGAGTGTGAGTACTCATCTTCAAATATACGTTAGTGTCGATAAGCTTAACTACAAATTATTAAACATTTCTGGGAACTTGAAACTTAGAAGGGAATCGTCATATTCTGCTACAGTGGGTATTTAAATTTAGATAAATCCTCATACCATAAATATTTTATGCTTAATTTTAAAATTTTCACTTCGTATTACACAGTCATCTTCAAAGCTCTTTGGATACAGGCCAACAAAATTAGTTTCTTATTTCATCCTAAACTTGTGGATGAATTTCCTAAAATTATTCGAATATCCATAATTTTTATTGTTAAATATTTAATAATTATACATTAACTGAAATACATTTATAGTACAGAGGAAATGTAGAAAGATATTGCAGGTCATGTATTATGTATCATTGGAATATGACAATAATAGTACAATTTGACTGGGGAAAAAAAAAAAAAAAAAAAAAAAAAAAAGATATTTCAGTGTTTTAAAAGGAAAGTGGACGTCTTTACAGTGAAATCTTGGATGAAAGTTTCACTGTGAATCAACTTGGGAAGACAGTGGAAATTTATAATAGAGGCGGGGTCTCTTTCTTCGCTAAACAGCTATGTTGAAGTGTGAAACGCTAGCCCTCAAGTATACTTGTAATTGGCTGATGACTCAGAACAGTAAACTGAACTTAAACTTGCTCTTATTCTAATGCCATTTCTCTAGTCTGTGGCGAGAACGAACAGAAGTTTTTCTTTAAAATTAAACGTGATCTCAAATATAATTCTTCATTATAAAGGAAAGTTACTGATTTGTAATATTACACAAACTAAATTCTTATAATTAAAACTTGCTTAAAATTCAATTTAATTCATTTATCCAAAAATCTTTTAATCCATTTATCCGAAAATTAACTTTTAATCCATTTATCCAAAAATCCAAACTTATCACCATTAACAATGCAAATGTCTTCTAATATTAATAACGTATTGTTATACTAACACAAAATATTTTGATGATAAATATGGAATATAATTATAATATATGTTTCCATACATTAAGAAACATAATAACAGGCCAAAAATTAAAAACAAAACTTTTTAAACACGTCCTGCGCTATAGCTGTAGGATCGAACAATTAATCAATCAACTCGACAATCAAAAATCAATCGACTTGAATGGAGCTCATCAACATCTAAAAAGCGTTTAAGCAAGCGTTAATATGCAAGATATGAGAAACATTATGGAAGAAGCTGAGTTTATTGAAAAAAAAAAAAAAAAAAAATGGGGCATAGAATCTAAATTTGAAAAATAAAATAAAAATAAAGACAAAAACAATTTTGATGAGTTATGTGAGAATAACAGGCTTGAAAATTCCGAAATGTTTAAGTAACAGTTTCTTATGCTGCTCTTGACATTTTAAATACTCAGTTAAAGTACAGAATGACAAAAATCACAATGATGTTTTTATTTTTGGAACCTAAAACACTGTCATCGTTAACAAATATGGAAATTATTAATAATGCTTCAAAAATACAGAAAACATATAAAGAAGACTTTGCTAATGCACTGGAAGTTTAAGAAACACTATGATACAAGATCGGTTGTTAAACCTATCACTATTGAGCGTTGAAGCTGCAAATGTACGGAGATGGCTGAGAAAATGGACGTCCAGGTATTAATAAATAATTTTGCGGTAATGAAGGTTAGGAGACGTAAATTTTAATAAAGAAGAATTTTTGTCTTTATGATGAATTTTGGCCACCAGTGCTATAATTACACTTATTGAGGAGGGAGGGAATTAAAGAAGAAGAGCAGTACGGGCTAAGGAAAAATTAAAAGGAAACAGGAAAAAACTTTAGCATTCATAATTTTTTTATTAAAAATCCTGTATCCAAGTAGTTTAGTGTACCAAAAGGATTTTTAAAAAGACAGAAACAATTTTACATATTTTCTACAAAAATTGTATATTCAAATAGTATTCTTTATAAAGTTTATGATAAATATGTTTTATATTTAACAAATGTATCATTTACAATATAAAAGTTCTTATTTATTACTTTACTTGTATATTATTGCATAAATCATGTTCGTAATCTGAGTAAATCACAGAGTACTATATATTAATTTAATATCTTGTCTATCAGTTTATAATATAACCAATTATTTATAAGTTTGCTAAATTAAGCGAAAAAAATTAGATAGCCGCAGATTTTATATAAAAATTTAAAACATAAAACTTCTTGGATTTTATATAAAAATCTCCGCAAATCTAGGCTTTCTTCCTTTTCTTAAAGCTATACTTCACATCAACATGTTCCTTTTTTATATAGATTTATTCATTTATTATCAGTATATATCTTAGTGAAAGGAGAGAAAAATCTGTCTCTTGCACTCACACACACGCCAACAGAAAGTCTTAAATAAATAACTGAATTAAAATCATCTGACGTCAAATACCCAGACTAAGGGAAATTTGCATTTCACCAATTGGCCATGGGAAAATATTTTCTTTTCTATTCTTCATTCATATTACGTACCTTTCAACTGGTTCCCTAAGAATGTGTTTTTTTTTTTTTTTTTTTTTTTTTTAACAATTAATCCAGATGTGAAAAAATCATGAAAACATTGGCTCCTGGAACCTTAATTTTTTAAAACTTTTTTTACGTTTTTTTAAAAATTTAATTTATTTTTTATTTTTAAGCACATTAATTTTATTGGGATAGGGACCCAGGAAATTTTTTTGTATAGGGGCCCAAGAATTCTAGTCATGCCACTGATTACTATAAATATAGTTAGAAAATGAAGTGTCTCTTATCGCCAGAAATTAAATACAGTTTTAAGTATCAAACAAGAATGAAATAAAAAGATAGAGCTGGGTTGTCCAGTTTCCATAGCTGCTTACATTTATTTTCACCAGATTTCTACAAGCCGTGCAAAATATGGGTAATTTTTGTCAATAGATTTAAAAGTTTATACAGATATACACTATATTCATCTACCTTGTGTTATATTTATCATATGCAGTCATTTGTAGGACATTATACATATAAAATTTTAATTGCATAAAACAGGCATATGTCAAAAACTTTTAGTGAGGCTGTTAACTGATTTTCATAGTGAAGCATTCCTAATGGTAGAGGAAAAGAAATAATTTAAAGAATGATTGAAAATTATAATATTTAAGTAGATAAATGTTATGACACTACACGCTTCATTAAAAATCATTTGTCAATTCTGTGACTATTTAAATCAAATGTAAAAAAATGCAGAAGTACTTTTTTGGGGGGGGGTGGAATGTGTCATGCTTACGGGATACTTTAACTTTATAGAACCAAATTTACTGGTTAAAATATATTTTAATTACATGATTTTTGGCAAAATAAAACCAAGGAACTAAATAAAAGGGAGCTTATAGAGTTAAAACCAAAAGTAATTACATTACAATGAAGTGCTTTTGTCAAAAATCATTAATCACACTACTTCCATTAATAATAAGAGGAGAGGAATAAAATAATTACTTTCATATTTACTTGTGCATTTTCTCCTTTTTTCTCCTAATTTTACAGCTTAGAAACTGGGAGGGGGAAAATACAGTGTATACTATTTCTGAAAACAACAGCTTAATTGATAACCATAGCATATTTTCATTTGACTTATACACAGCACTTTTCTGCTTGCACATTCATTTTACATTGTTACCCTAAATAAGAAGTTTTTAAAATCATATTCTGAAAACCCTAGAGAGGGAGGGAATTACGTGAGTGGGAGAAATATGTGAGTTAATACGGTATACATATTATTTAATAAGATTTTATATAATTAAAAATACTTAAGTGATGATTTATGTAGTTCACATTAAAATGAAGGACCATCGAAAGATCAAGACATTTTTAGCGAAAGAACATCTTAAACAATAAATATTAATTTATGAAAAAGTATGTGCCTTTTTTAAATTATAAATAAGCAAAACATAATACAAAGTTTATAAAGAAGGCATTAAATACTGATTAAATTTCAGTTTTATTAGGATTAAAACAAATACTACAGTTTGAATTAATAATCCTTTAAAAGTAAATATACAGACACTAAAAATATTAAAACATTGAGCAATGCATGGAACCTTGTTAAGCTTTAAAAGAATGAGTTAAAACTAATTATATGTCACTCATTAATACTCAAAACTATTAAAGTACAGAAAATTTTCAAGTAAAATTCTATAATTTAAAAATAATAAATAGACAGTTCACACATAATAGTTTATAAACATCAAACTTGAAATATATGCACCACACATATATGAAAATAGTTTGATATTTAGAAATATCATAGTATTTGTTAACCCTATGATATTTCTATCAAACTAAACAAAGCAGCAAATACAGCAGGAATGACCTGAAATTATTTTAACATTTTGAATAACACCATAATTTTTTTATATAAACTACACATAGTTACATAAAACACTACAAACTGCACAGCAGTTAAAGCAGAGAAAGAAGAAAATCAAATACTAAAATTAATAAACTAAATGCAACAGCACCCCCCTAAAAAAAGGCTGTAGTGTGTTTATTAAATGAATTCTTCTTCTTCTTCATCTTGCAATATCGGCTCTGTCCAGAGTTCTCTACCAGATCTTTCCTGAGAAAATGAATGAAAAACCTTTTGCAAATAAATGATATAATTTTTAATCAATTTTTCAATTTTAGTCTAAGCACAAAGAAGAGAGAATTACAAATTGATATAGTAAATTATATGAGGATAAATATTACAGTATGATTAAAATAACTGATTAAAATTGCTATTTTTATTAATGTTCTTCAGAGAAGAGGAAGAAATAAAAAAAAAAAAAAAAAATAGTGGAGATGAGGAGAAACATGAACTCACTGTTATACACTGCCTTTTCATTTCGTTAACCTATTGAAAAATAATAAAAACATACATCATTTCTCACACACTTACATAACATACATCATTTTGAACATATTGTTCAAAATGAATCTTACTTTGAGCTGTATAACATTTCATTAAGAAACTACGTTTATTCATATTCCTCAAAAAAGTGTACCGACTATTACTTTCAATTATCAATTAAAATATTTTAAAAGTCTCTGCAAATTATATATTAGAATTTAATTTATAATACTTTACAATATAAATTTAGTTTACATACTTTATAATTTAGAAACAAAAGTGGATATAAATGATTTCTTTTCATACGATAAAGTTTAATAAAAAGAACTGTATTTTAAATGCTGCAAATTGGATGAAAAAAACAAGTTAAAGCTATAAAGTTTGAGAAACGTTCTTGAACTTGTGTAGATGTGTAGCTGCTTGATGTAGCAGCTGCTATTATTAATGTTTTTTTTTTTTTTTTTTTTTTTTTTTTTTTTTTTTTTTTTGTAAATTGAAAATATATTTGGATACTGCAATGAACAAACTGAAAATTAATCAAGCCTAAGAGTTAGCAATTCTTAACTCATTACTTTTTATAAGATATTTTATTCTTCTATAGTGGATAACAATCACAGAAGGAGTCTTTCAGGAATATAAGGTCATATTTTAAACGGTCAATGATATATATTTTCTACCACACCAGGAAAGTTAACGCCTGAGGACAGAAGAAAAACAGATATTATTGCAAATCAGGATGAAAGTAATACAGACCAGTAATATGGTCTGCACTATATATACTAATTCATCCAATTGAGATATGAAATTACAAATTTTGCCATCAGCCAATTAAGCAGAAGATAAACTGCAGTTATGGAACACTTTACCATTAACTTTTAATTAATTTTATTTTTAATTCTAATTACTGGTGCAAAAAAATAATTGTTTTTAATACATCAAACAAAATCTTGATTAATTGTACAGTCAAAAGTCGTTAATCCGGACTCGTCGGGACTTCCGCGATTCCGGATTATAGATCATCAGTTTAAATCTCGTAAGATGGCATGCAGAAATTCTAAAATTAAAAAAATATGAAACCGTAATTTGAAAATAAAGAACAATTATGATCTAAAAGGGTATCAAAATTTACAAAAAAAAAAAAAAAAAAAAAAAAAAAAAACTTAATATTATTTGTTTACTTTATTAAACATTTCTTTCAAGGTAAGTTGTTTAAGTTGCTTCGTTTTATGTGATAATACTTTCTCTTTAATTCTATAAACAGACATAATTTCTTGTTCAGTTACAAAGTACCGCTGTGTTCAAGTCCCGTAATCGCTTGTGCCGAGAATACCGACTAACTTGTCGATCAAAATTTTTTCGTTTTCGATAACCTCTCTGTCACTTTCTTCATGCCAGTTATCCATTTTTTTGCAGCAATTGCACTTTTTGTTTGATGGACATCGAAACATACTTTCGTTTTGTAGATCCTTTGGGAGCTCCAGCATTGGAAATTCTATTTGACATAATCGAAAGTTCAAGTTTACTTTTATAAAATTGCTCTTACAGTCTGAAAAAAGTAATGAGTCGGATCCAGTTCGAAGACTAAGGAACAACGCAATCATCAACATTAACTGAAATAGATAATTAGATAATTTTAGCTTATACCGTCCGTTATACATTAAACGCGCACGCGAAAATGTATTCTGCACTTGCGCACACGCATATGCGCAGTCGTAAAGTCTTACGTGTACGCGTAAACGCCTATGCTCATGTGTCAACGCGGCGCATGCGCAGAAAGTTTTTAGCTTTGATGTCCGGATTATGGGTGTCCGAATTAACGACTTTTGACTGTATTATTTTTTCCTACAATCATCATTAGCATTTTATTTGGTACTTTTCCGTTTCACCGGCACAAATCTCGCCAAGCAGACTTTATTGACAACAATATACAGTAAAAATGTTAACAAATGTTAGTTCTTGAGAATTTTTTATTTTGAAGGTATAAACATTTTAATATGGTTTAAAATTTTGTAAAAAACCAGTAAACAAAGACAATAAATTTGTAAAAAAACATTAATTTAAAATTTAAAAAGCTTTCATGGTTCAACACCCTGATTCACTAGTTCGTATCATGTGACCCCAAGTGATCTCATCTCATGTAAACTACACTACAAAAAACTAATTCTCTGAGTAATTATCTACATTAATTTCAAGTTAAATCTTAATTTGGAATACAAGTTTAAATGGAAGAATTATTTCAATTCGTTCGAATAGCTTACTCAGAAATTAAGTAAAACCGCATTGCTTTACTTTCCTAGTGCATTCTCATTAGAATTGATGAATTTAACCCTTGATTTTGCCTTTTCTATATTTTCGCCTTCAGGTGAGCAGAGATTGCATCCTAATTGACTTAATTACCGCGAATGATCTTAGGGCATAAAATTTGACTATGTTGCAAAAATTCTATGTAATTGTATGCCAGTATTGAAAGAAACAATCAATCTGATAAGAAATGGCTATGACTTGTTTTGAAAATGAAGCGTAAAAGGTTACCAGCAAAGATATTCTGTTTGACATCATTTGTACCATTATTGGTGATTTTATTGATTGTGCTAGCAAAACGGAAAAGTACCTTTTATTTTTTAACTGAATTTCTTATGCAATTCTGGTATGATATTCATAGAATCATTCATATGACTTCTAATTAGGAGAATAATTAATTATACCAATTATATAGTTATTTTTTATAAAGGCTTAGAATACTAACTGGTGTGTTTTCAGTAGATCTTAAGTTTTTGTCTTTTAATAATTTTTAAATAACAGAAAATTACAAAAAACAAGTATTATTTACCAGTACAAAATTAAACTAATCCAGATTCATAATTGCAATTTTTATGATGAAGATGGTAAGTATTGCAATTATGAATGGTGGTAAGTATTACAATTGTGATGCCAAGATGATGATGATGAAGTTAGGGTCAGCTCTATTAAGTAAAATTTATGTTATGTTTTCCCACAAATAGTTTCTAATACATAATTGTTCTTTCAGCAGTTTCTAAATTCCTTACATTTTTCATTTGCTTTGGTAATACATTTAACAATTAAAAAATACACTTCTTTATATTTAGCAATCAATATATATTTCTCCAGAGATTCTGATTACAAATTGATGTATAAATGCAGAATGTTATAAGATGTTGTTTAGGGAAGCATATTCATCAAACATGTGGTGTATCTACAAAGTATTAGAACTGATTTTTTTTTTTTTTTTTTTTTGAAATACAACTTTTTTAAGTACAATGAAATTGCAAAACAATAACTTCGTGGCTGTGGTTACTAACATACCTCAACTTGCTTCTATTAAAATACTGTGCATTTATGGAAAGAAATTAGAATGTAATAATTTGTCTGAATTTATGCAGCCAATATTGCTGTTATCGATTAGTGAGTGAAGAAGCAAGAGCAAGAAATATTTCGTTGTGTAATGCAGCCAATGACAGACTCACTGCAAAGAAAAGCATCCTTCAGGCAATTGTCTTTGAAGTGAAATCTGAATTTAAAAGGGTTCACTTTAACAGCATTTTGAAAATTCAGACAACTGCAATGATGACACGAAAGACAGTTCAGCAGATTACTTCTGTAAAGCAATACAGAAGCTCTCTGAACATACCAAGAGATACAGTATGATATCAGAAAGAATGCATGTAAAACGCTAAAAGAAGAATAAGTTTTCTTCAGATCTTGAATAATTATGAATTCCATCCTGCAATTTTGTAGGTGCATTGCAGGTCTTATCTATTGAATATAATATCTAAAACTAAGCTTTAATTATCTGTTACTGAGATTATTCTTTGATAACAGAAAGGTATATATGCTGTTTACACTCATCACATTATACTATTCTTATGATGTATTTCAGATTAAATTACTGTATTTCTTTCTAAATCTCATAATATTAATATGCCCACAGCAATATTTTATTTATCTGTTAATGTATTAAAAAAAGGAAAAAGGAAGCAGTAGTAACCTACCTCTTCACATGATGGTTTTTCTGGTAAACTGTATGATTGGATACAGGCTTGGCAAGCTTCAATTTCACCCTAGAACACAATAACTGACTTTTAATGGAAAATGTATAATGCATCTCATGAAATTATACCAATAAAAAATTACATAGCACACACACAGATTGTAATTTTCTTAATGTTTAGAAATAAAAACAAACTTTAATTTAAAAACTTTACAACAATTTTTCATCAATTAAATGTTGGGAAAATTTTATTATTGAAAGTAAATGAAGAAAATTATGTATAATTGAAAATGCAGTCACTGAAGGATGATTCATGCATACCTTGTGAGCTGGTCAATTACCACATTCTTGATGAGGTTATAAATATCAACTTGAAAATAGCTTGCTTTAATGAATATAGTTGTCAATAATTTACTGTAAATTAAATAACTAATTTCCTGTAATTAAATTTAGTAGTATAAAATAATTAGACCAGAAGATTGTATTTTTTAATACTGATACTATTTTTTAAAACCAGATGAACTAATTAAGAATAATTTGATAAGAATAAATTTATTTATATGCATAAAAAATTTTAATCTTACATTATGATTAAAACTGGGCTATTAATGCCTGCTTTAATGTTATAAATTGATTAATAATTAATATTAATAATGATATAGATTAATAATTAATATTAATGCCTGCTGTATAGTGAATCAAATTATTATCAACCTTCAATAATGGATGTTATAGCTCATATTAGCTGTCCATAAAGTGTATATGATATATGACATTCATAATATCTAGCAGCTTATAATATGCTAAAGTAATTACACAAATGGAGTTTTATCTGTTTTTAACATACATGTAAAAAGATAGAAATTACAAAGCTCTGTATATAATTTTAAAATAAAGTTGGACTGTTGTATTGCTGCTCATGCCGCCCTTTTTTTTACCGAGAATGCATATCCCACCACAAGAAATTAATGAAACTGTTAAATTAATATCATAAACATTAGGCATGATATTTGACTCTTATTTTAAAATTATATATGTGAATGTCTATTAAAATAATCTGTAATAAGTATTCAAGCAATATTTTTATGATATAATAATATTTTTATGATAATATATGTTACTATGAAAATAATTACAAGAATTACAAGGTGATTTGTTGTAAGGTAATAAAAATGGTTAGAGAAACATAAAATATTCATAAACAATCCTTACACCATGCTAATAGTTGTTACAGTAGATATAGGTACTATTATATTAATTCAGATGCCTGATTAATGATTAATATCAGTGCTAATGTCGATACAGATTCATAGTTAATCTGACACGAGTTAAAAAAAACACAGGAAGAGGAATAATGCATACTATAATTTAAAAAATAAAAAAAAACCTAACAATACATGTCTTTTTAAGCAATTTAATTAAGAGAATAAGTTCACATGGTTATTAAATCAACATTTAAAACAAGAACATGCCTCCCTACAGAAAGAACAATGTTTTTGGTACTTTTCCGTTAGCTGGGCACAAATGTCTCCAATTGTGAACTAAACGCGAGCCAAGTCACCAAGCGAAGCGAATGACAAAACAGTCAAGGGAATAAAAGTCGAAAATGTTCAACTATAAACAAATATTTATTAATGGTAAGCAAAGTTTAACTATAAACAAATATTAATGAATTGTAAACAAAACAGTTTTACCCAAAAAGAATGCTTATAACTATTGGTTTTTCCAGAATACGGTGATGTCCTTGAGAATTTGCTCAAATGGATCATTTACTCCTTGTCTCCACATAAATTCAGCAAAGTATGAATGATGGTGAGAAATTCCCAAAGTTTTTTATTTCTCTATTTAGCACTGCTTTAAAGTTGTTTAATTTTCTGAGTGTTTACACCAGTGTCTGGATCAACAAAATTATACCTGTGATTGACTTTGAAATGCTGTAGATCAGCTTCTTTCATTTTAGTTTTGCAGTAGTCCTTCTTGGAATCGGAATAGACGATTGACCCTTCTTCGATATGATTTGTTATCGCATCTACAAGCAGAGTCGTAGCTAGGGTTTTCAGCGTCCAGGGGCAAGTGAAGATTTCACGTCCCCTACTGCTTGCCAAGGATGGAAAACATTTAATTCTAAAATGTCGTAACATCAATTTGGCGCCCCTTGGATTCTGCACCCGGGGACAGATGTCCCCCCTTGCCCCCCTCTAGCTACGCCCCTGTCTACAAGTACTGGTAAAGAACGGTTTGGAACTTTAACTAGAAAGCATTCATCCGTTTTGCGGCAAATGCCACTAAATATCCACTATTGTGGAAGAATTCGACCGGCATTGTTTTGTCATTTTGTAAATAAGCTCTTGTCTGTCTCAACTATTTTTCCAGGACCACTGATTTTTTTTTCTCACGTTCCACTAATACTTCTACACAAACTTCTCTTAAATAGCTGTTCCAATCTACAACTGTATTATGATTCATATCCAGTTGTTTTTCACACCATTTGACTGATGTCTCTTTTCGCTCCAACAGTAAATAAATCTCAAAGATGTTAGAAAACTCACTCTGGATAATTCCAACCACATACCATTGGGAATGCTCTTCTTCGTGCGGCATGTTGAAAGATTGCACTGCCAACGTACTTCGCCACAAAAAGACAGTTTCATTTCATGATTCTGATCACATGTTGCATGCTTTGCCAATATACCTTTCTCTTGAAAAAAAGACTGCATCTTCTCAGTTCTAAATCCCAAATTTTTATCACTTTTCAAAACAAAAATTAAGATGGAAGAAAAAAAGGAAAACATGCTTTGTTTTGAACGAATTCAAAGAATAGAGCACATAGACCCCCAAAACATTCCCCTTATGGTTGTAAGAAATTTGGCGATTTTTCGCTTGCGCTCGGCTAATGGAAAAGTACCCATTTTATTTATATTATTCTTGTACTTTGCTAGAAGGCAGAAGGGAATAGAAAAACTTACAGTACACTTACTTTATTTTTCAGATTTAGTAATTTATTTTTAACTGATGATTTAACAATGTTTGTTTATTTCAGGTTACATAAAATTAGATTCCAGTTGTGTATAGAAACAATTTTAAATGCTGTGATATCATCTACTACAACTGTTGCTATCTCACACACTTTTTTCTCCTTTTTATTTCCAATAAAAATTTTCCCACCCTGATGGTTTGCAATTGTAATTTTTCCATTTTTCCACAATAAAAAAGCTTAATTTTTTTAAACAAGGGTCAGTTAATCAGGAGTTAACTGTATACGTATATACAAAACAAAAATACTAAAAAAAAAAAAAAAAAAAAAAATTGGCATACCGTTTAAACACTTTTTTTACTCCAAGACATATATTATATATATATATACTATATAAAACTGCACTTTTCTATTCTAATTATACATAACTTCCTCTGAAAGCTCTTTTAGCTATGTATTATTAATGTTGATGAATTAATAAAACATACCTTGTTTCTAAATTTCTTAATGCATTTCCTCTTGGCTTTGAATTTCAAGCTTGGCTATAAACAATTAGCATAAATAGTTATATAGACATAAAATGCTTTATGCATGGACATTTTAAGTACAAATGAATGACAGTATTCAAATTACACATTACACACTATCTTTTCATAAACATTCATCATTTTACAAATATAAATATGGCATAAAGTATATTTATCTTTTTAAAAATATATTTCATATTGTTTAGGAATGAAAATATACTAATAATGATTTTAATATAATTAAAACTTTAAAGTACTTAGCTAAACTACAAATGGACAGAACTCAAATTTAATCTAGTGTGAAACAAAGACTGAATTTTGCCTGTTTCTAAAGTTCAGAAGTGTTTGTCTTACATCTTTTATCTGAATTGTGGTCAAAATAACATATTAAAAATTAATTCCTCATGAAGAATAGTACTTATTTAAATGAGAATTTAATTTACAGAATATGATAAATTAAACAATTAATTTTATTGTTTGAAAATTTATATAGAGATTCAAAGCACTTTATTACAAAATAATGCAATATTATATTAATGTTTTTAGAAACTACGCTTAGTCAAATTTAATGTTTAAACTTAAAACTGTTTGATCAAATAATTTTTGTTCATTATTTTTTTCTTTTAACATTAAAATTTTCAGTTGAATTTCTATAAATTATCTGTTATATCTTTTACTCTAGTGTATACAATTGGCTTTTCTTTTTCTAACCTCATTCTACAATGAAGTTGCAGTAATTTTCATTTTTAAGTAATGTGTTTAATTGAACTGTTTAAAAAATCTATTTTCTTTCATTATTATTTTACATGTATTACACTTTATTCTACTTGTGCATTATATTTGTAATTATCTGATATTTCACAATATAATAATAAAACCAGATATGAATGGACTCTTTGTATTTCTTAATACATCCCAAAAAAATGTTTCTTAACTGCTTAAAGGAAAAACATGAACAAGGGAAAGTAAGATAGTTTCCTATTTTCAAAATCATATTAATAAAAGGTTCACTATCACTTTAGTCTATTACTTTAAAATAGGAACTTCAAGGTATTTTCTGCAACCAGATTTGATTTGCAACCATGGAACAACATATAGATGTGGAAAAGGTCAAGCCCCTTAATTTTTTTTTTCTCTTAACTATGTTACCATTTAGCATGTTTAAATTCTGCACTAAATAATAATTATGTAGTAGAAGGCTGAATTATTTGGGCAATCAACCTAAGAAATGATCTAATAAGAAAATGATCATTCCAAAATCTTATTCTTCTCATTATATAAGAACATTGATTAAGTCATATTTAAATAATCTATTCAACTTTGCAACAATATATCCTGACTTAATATATTCAGAAGAAGGCTATGCACTATTACAAATAGGCCCTGAAGTCCCTTATCCAAAGAATTATGCAGTCCCTTATCCAAAGAATATAGCAAAATTGCTAAGTAGATTATATCGCATTGTGTGTATAAAAATTTTTACAAGCATGCATACACAAATATTCAAATAAATTATATCAAGCAGAACTTCAACTGCATGAATTTCATGTATTAAACCTTTATAGTAATTATAGTATATATAGTATTCTTTGCTTTGAAGTGGTAAACTTACATATGGTATTTTAATTCTTCAAGTCAAAATTTTTCCTCAATTAACATAAATTATAGCATGTAGTTTTACAACTACTGCAGTAGCTACTTATACTATAATATCTCTTTATGTGACAGCACACAATAAAATAAGACAGCAGCAGACAAAAGGATAGTACATAAATTAGGATGCTTGATTAAATTATAATGTTCAAAACAAGCGAATTCTTTAGAAAATATGTTTTTATGCCTGACTTACAAAGGAAAACAGCCATATTTACACTACACATGAGAAAAACCATATGCAGACTGTCCATTTGCAGAAATATATGTGTGTGTGTGTGTGATTATGGCAAAGCCTCGAGGGCTATCTGCCTAAGGGGGAGGGATACCTTCGTGGAGGACTTTCTAAGGCAAACTGGCTCGTATACACGTTACACGTGGGGAAAACCATGAAAACGTCCATGCAGCCAGCCCCTTTCGTGGGATTTGAACCTCGGACCGAACTACCAGTGTTCAGCGACTTTACCCACCAGCTCGGCCGCTGGTGGGCCCCATTTGCAGAAATAAAACCTGTTGGAACTACAAGTAGTGTTCAGCAGTCTTATCTATTTCACCAATGGTTGAAATAAGTTATGAACTGTTTATATTTTTACTGTATGTATGCATGTTCATTATATATATGTACATAAAAGTGATATATGATATCATAGATACTGTATTAGAATCATATACAGTACAAAGTCTTTAATCCGCACTCGTCGGGATTTCAGGAATTTCGGATTAGGAGTTTTTCCGGATTATAGATCATCAATTTAAATCTGGTAAGACGGCATGCAGAAAATATAAAATTAAAAATATGAAACCGTAATTTATGAAATAAAGAGCAATTATGATCTAAAAGGTATCAAAATTTAAAAAAAAAAAAAAAAAAAAAAAAAAGCTTAATACAGTCAAAAGTTGTTAATCCGGACTCGTCGGGACTTCGGCGATTCCGGATTATAGATCATAAGTTTAAATCTGTTAAGATGGCATGCAGAAATTACAAAGTTAAAAATATGAAACCGTAATTTATGAAATAAAGAACAATTATGATCTAAAGAGTATCAAAATTTACAAAAAGAACAAGCTTAATATTTATTTGTTTACTTTATTAAACATTTCTTTCAATTGAAGTTGTTTAAGTTGCTTCGTTTCATGTGATAATATTTTCTCTTTAATTCTATTAAACAGACATAATTTCTTGTTTAGTCACAAAGTTCCGCTGTTCAAGTCCTATAATTGCTGCATCGAGAATACCGACTAATTTGTGAATCGAAATTTTTTCGTTTTCAATAACCACTGTGTCACTTTCTTCACTATTGGAAGCGAATTATAATGACGAGGAACTTGATTTAAATCATAGACGGAGTACATCGAGATGAAATACTACATTTAGTAAGGAATTATGAGCCAAATAAAATAAATGTCAGCCGATGAGATCACCTGGCGCAGACCAATCCCCTTTTCAGCCTGTGTTGCTGAAGTAAATTCACTTTTCATCATAGCGACAATCCTGTCCAGAATTTTGTCCTTCCACTGATATTCCAGGAGATTAGTGCATGCTCAAATACGTGTGTCCTTATCTGCTTGAGTCAGCTGATGCGGCACCCAGTGATTGAACTTGTACGCCAATTTTATGTGATGCTCAGCGCGACTAATGGACATAGCACTAATGTCTAATTCCTCAGCAAGTTCTCCAGTGGTTGCCTACTGATCTTCTTCCACAAGTTCTCGCAGGTGAGTCTCATCAACATCAATAGGCCAACCAGAGCACTCTACTTCTTGAATGTCAGAGTCCTTGTTTTTTCAACTTTCGGTACAAAACCTTCACAGTGTTATATGATACAACATTAGTACCTAAAGCTGTACACATGATTTGATGACATTCTGTAGCTGACTTTTTGCAACAGAACTGGAAGTAAATGATGGTTCTAATATAGTAGCACAATTATCCATTTCAGATATCTTGTACTTAATGGTATTTTTGTACAAATTTCACAACACATTGTTCTAAAGTCTCTTTCTTCCAAATACAAAAAATCGTTTGGCAAAATATGATTAAACAATCCAATGCGAACTGTTTGCGCAGACGATATTAGCAGTGGTGGAAAACTTTCATTAAAACCCGATACTAATTCCCAGTAACAAACACAGTTCCACTCACTATCACTCACTTTAATAACTTATTATAACGACCACTTCATTATAACAGCCAGTATAAAAAATTCCCAGCTTATGAAAGCATTTTAATTTTTTTTTTTTTTTTTTTCCCCTGCAACAGCAACCACCTATTACAACATCTTTTTTCTGTTAGATATGAAATGTTGTTCTAATAATTGTCAGCGTTTAAATAAACTTACTTTTGGAAGGCATGATTTTCTCATTGCTCTTACCTGAAAAATTATTATAATAATATTATGACAATATTTCAATATATAAAGTTGAATTATTTTTAATTGTAAAACCTGTGTGTACTCACATCATCTCTGGTAACATTCTGAGGCAAGATGTAATCATCAACACATTGGAAACAAGTTTCAATAGCTTCCTGTAAAGAAAATATCTGAATTTAAATGATATTGCAGATTAGTTCGAAAATTAAATCTTATATATGTTTGCACATTTTTTATTATTAACTTTAAATTTGCTTTTTACGTATATACATGTTTGTTAAAATATCTATACATATATATAATGGGTGGCCATAATTAAACCGACAGTGCTCACAGTGTTCTGTAGCGCAATCTATTTGCGAGAATGACGCCACATTTTGTAGAAAGACGGGGATGAAGGATTCTGTGAAAAAAAATTAGTTCCAAAATTCACCGCTAGGGGAATATTTGGCGCTGTGTAATAGAAAATAGAGTGTTAACAAATGCAAATCAATACGGAAATTACCTTTTATTTTGCATTCAAATGAGGTTCAATGTGGCTGCCGTTGTTGTGGACCACATATTGCATTCTGTGCACAGTATGCACAACAGCAGAAAGTAACATGTCTGCAGGAAACTCCCGTACAGTACGCGATATGTTATCCTTCAACGTAGCCAGGTCCTGGACCACTCCTTGATAGACCTTGGACTTAAGGTAACCCCATGGCCAGAAGTCACATGGGGTACGATCAGGCGACCGAGGTGGCCATGCAGTTGGAAAAGCGGCTAATGGTTCTCTCTGTTGTGAATTTCTGTCATAGCATCTGTTGCACCTGTACAGCAATGAGTGGAGGGGCTCCATCTTGCATGAAAATGATTTCCCCCAGGCATTGTCTTTGCTGAAGTGCCGGAATAACAAAGCTGTTCAACATGTGGTGATATTTCTCTCCGGTAACAGAACAGGTTTTCGGTCCTGTGGGGTAATGTTCTCATAGAAGAATGCACCTACGAAAATACCGCTGTGTACCACCCAAACAGTTTACTTTTGTTGAATGTAAGGATTGCTGTGACTGTATGTGGTTTTGTCATCCCAATTCGGCAAGTTCTGGTATTCACAGTTCCATTCAGTAAAAGTGGGCCTCGTCTCCCCATACGATCTCCATCATGGCTAAGCATCATCACCTCCTTCTGGCAAGAAAGGTGAGGGCAAAAGTCAATTGCTTATCATGGTTGGGGTACAGTCTCCTGTACACGGCTGATATTGTACGGATAGAAGTTGATAATCTTTCGTAAGATTTTCCATACCATACTGTAAGGCATATCCGTATTCCATAAGGTGTGTTCATAATAAAAGGTAATTTTATTCCGTTTTAATTTGCATTTGTTAACACTCTATTTTCTATTACACAGCGCCAAATATTCCCCTAGCGGTGAATTTTGGAACTAATTTTTTTTTCGCGAAATCCTTTGTCCCCTACAAAATTCCTACAAAATGTGCCGTCATTCTCACAAATAGATCACGCTACAGAACACTGTGAGCACCGTCAGTTTAATTATGGCCACCTGGTATTTTAATGTGAAGGATCAATATCTGGCAGATGTCAGCATTCACATAATTGCTTAGTGAATATCTGAAATATTGCTAAATATCATTATTACTCATTTACTATGACTAATGTCAACATTCAGCGTGCACTGATGGTAAATGTTGAATAAAACTATTTTTGTTACATTAAGATAAAAATGTGACTTTTTAAATCATATTTTATTATTAATTTTTTTTTTTTTTTTTTTTTTTTTTTTTGAGCTTTATTCATTTTTGCAGCTTGCAGTGGAAGATTCTGTTTCATAGCTACTCTTTTTATAGAAATAAACTCATGTTGTTCTGTCAGGGCTTGATATGACTTGCTCCTCTTCAAATTTTTCCTTTGGACTCTGGTTTTTGCTATGGTCAGTGTTCAAATTTTCTTCAAAAGAATTAACAGTTTCTTTATTTTCAATATTTGTGATTTGCACACCAGGCAAAGATGATGATACTATGCCTCTTTTCAGGTTAACACCATAAGGGCTTTGGCATATTCATTTATGATATGTTGTGTTCTTGGCAAACCATTTGACCATTTATTTGCATCGTTATCATTCATTCATGCAGTTAACGTATTCTGCATATTCTGACTGGCCCTTTCTCATACAACGGATCAATCAATATAAAGTTTTTTTTAAAAAATACCTGATGTGGTCACCACATGATAACATTGTACAGCCTACTAAGTTACACAAATTTTTTGTTGCACTTCATTTAAACTTATTTCCTCGAATTTCATTACAGATCCTTTTCTAAGTAAATCAATTCAGTTCTTACTTTGCAGCAAAGCAAAAATACATAAAAACTGAATCTTAATTAAAAATTGTAAAATTTAAAAAAAAAAATACATTTAAAAACAATAAAAAAAATTTTACAATTAAAATTAGTTTCTATGCAAAAACTAGGATAGAGGGCAGGAAGACAATATTTTTGGTGCACAAAATTAAAAATTAACTTTTGGTCATACTGGTCAAAAAAGACATTGAAATTGGTGCACCAGCTGCCTTAATTCACTATTCTACTAAGAGTTTCAAACGTAAACAAATGACGGCCTCACTAGACTCAAATTTTCAAATTGTTGATAATACTACAACTATTGCATGCAGATTAACTAAAGGCATAAAATATTAATCAGAACTTAAGAACAATATAATTCAATCTTTTTTTTAAATGTACAATTAGCCTATATATAAGAATTTAAAAAAAAAATTGGGCTCACTGAGCTGAGTAACAGAGTGGCAATATATAGATAGACAAATAGTAAGAAATTTAGAACCAGTTTCACAGACAGATCCAAAAGAAGTGAAATTCAATGCCAATAAACTTCAAAAACCCTATAAATATGTAAAATAAGAATTAAAGAAATAAGGAACTAAAAACCAGAAAATTACAAAAACCAGAAAAAGTATAAAAGACGAGGAATTCAATCACATCTGATATAACGCTATTAAGTAAAGGAGAAATCAAACTCAACTGCAATCCTCACTTCAATTGAAAACTACTGCCTTTCTGTATCCAGAATCACCTAATGAACCATTCTAAAGTATTTAATTATAAAGCTCATCCGAAAATTTTGAAGTCCTCCCCGATGAAGCATAAGTATAAATTCTAAGTCCAATAAAAAACTAAAATTACTTACAGAATTTTAATTGAAATTAGAATTGAAAAAATACAAAATTTACTCATTGTTCACCGAGTTATTATAGTTGGTTCAAAATGTTTTCTATTTATTTCTAAAAAAATATGTATTTCAGCATTTATATTTCAATTTTTATCTTGCATTTTGTTAAAAAGTGTACTTAATTTTTTTTTTTAAATTTTCCATATAAAAAATTTGTATTGTCTCCAAGTGTTTAACACTATGAACAATGAATAAGTTTTGTATTTTTTAAATTCTAATTTCAGTTAAAATTGTCTAAGTAATTTCAATTGCTGTATTGAACTTATATTCATGCTGGGTTGTGAAGGACTTCAAAATTTTCGGATGAACTCTTATAATACTTTAGAATGGTTCATCAGGTAATTTTGGATACAAAAATGCAGTGGTTTTTAATTGAATAGGGAATTACAGTTGAGTTTGATGTCCCCTCCTCTCAATAACGTTATATCAGATTTCATTGAATTCCTTTTCTTTAATTCTTATTTTACATATTTATAGGGTTTTTGAAATTTATTGACATTGAAATTAATTTCTTTTGGGTCTTTGTGTAAAATTGGTTCTAAATTCCTATTCTAAATTTGTTTATACTGATCAATTTTCAGCAGCATATTATGTGGAAATATTTGGAATAATTTTGTTTTTAAATAATCCTGTGAGGGAGTTAGTATACATTGGTGTGGTCAACTGACAACGTAAAGGGGAAACTTGTGTTTTTGGCAGTATACAAAATTTCAACATTTTATGGCTACTCATTAGTTATGCAAGATGACTAATGAGTACAGATGTCAAGCATGTTGTCTGATCCCATTACTTCCGATTAAAAAATTTCAACCAGCCAAATTTCTTTCTTGTCCCCCTAGTAAAGATGTTAAAAACATCTCAATGTATCAAGGTGGCCAAAATGGATAGTTTCCATCCAATCTGATACCTGAATTTTTTCGCAATACATCCTCCCTTTACTCTCGAGGCGTCCCCCATAGCCCTTTTTTTAACAGCTCTTTAACTGAATTCTTTTTTAGAAAACCCAAGCCTGCCCCGTATTGGCCTAATCCAAATGTACATTGCTGTATAAATGAAAATAAAAATATTGTCTGACTACTAATTATGATTCTAAGCATAAACTCATGAAATATTATAAGTATTTTTCAGCTAGAAAACTAACCATTATTATTGCCACTCTCTGTTATACCATGACAACATAGTATAACTAAAATGGTTCCCACAATCCATTGCAAAAGAAATATCATGCCACATTTAGGTGAAAATCAACTTCCATTTTCTGCCCTATAGAGAGCAAGTGGCAATGAAAGCAAATATCCCCATTTGAATTAAATTCCATAATTTGTTTTCATATGAAGTCAAATCCTTTATTTTTTTATCAAGAGAATCAAATTTTCCTAAATATATTTAGTGACTGGGATAGTATCCAACATTAGATTCATGAATTTTTCCCCCTCTGATTAATTTTTTTTTTGTGGAATATAGAATTTGCATATATGTTATCCACTTCTCCTAATTGAAGTATATATGTAAGACAAACAGAGGTAAAACTAAAGGCCGGTAATGTCTTTTGTTGCCATGATGTATTCCACATTAAATGTGACTTATTCCATAACAGTTTAAAATTACCTGTAATAGAATTTTATTTAACACTAAAAATTACCTTTTCCAAAATGTATGTATTATTCTGAAGTTATAAATAACAACTGTGGTATTCTCTGATATTTATTTCAGTTTTTAGAGACATGACATAATTCAGGTTAAACCAGAAACAAAAATTATTGTCATGAACTAATATTAGTCGAAGAAAATGGAATTAGTCAAAGTTTCTTACTATATATGTTCCCTAATCTAACACGTTCAACTACTCCAACTTTGAAATAATAATGATTTATTTTGGAATAAATATCTAGCACAATTAACTGCAACCA